CTCCTCCTTCTTCTTCCTCTTCTTCTTCTTCCTTCTTCTTCTTCTTCTTCTTCGTCTCCTCCTTCTTCTTCTTCTTCTTCTTCCTTCCTCTTCTTCTTCTTCAGCAGCGTCAGGTGACTTTGAAGTGCTGAGGCTGCAGCCACTTCATCTGCGTATGTGGAAAAAAAGCCATCGGAACAAAGGAAACAAAGGCTGAAATATTCACAGGTAAAAAGGTACTGTTGGAGTTCAGTATACAATGTATACTGCCCTCCAACAGTACTTCATCCTGGGAGTACTGGGGGGTGTGGGGGGGGTAACTGGTGTGTGGAAACGACTACAAATATTAATTGCCGGTGGTTCTGCAGCAACGTCATTGATTTACAGTTCAACAGTGAACAGACTCAAACTGCTGACGGTCAGGATTACGTCGTCACTGCTCGTTGGTTGTTGTTAGCCGGTCCTAAGAAATCAGGACTGGATCAGGACTGGATCAGGCCTGGATCAGGACTGGATCAGGAAGTGAGGAAAAAAAAATAAAAATCTGCGAATATCGCTTTTATGTGTGAACGCCAAATGACTTTGTTGGTAAATGAAGGACTAAAAGTCAACAGTCTGACTTATCACCACCACCATCATCATCATCATCACCATCACCACCATCATCATCACCATCATCATCATCATCATCCCCACCACCATCATCATCATCACCATCACCATCACCCCCATCATCATCATCATCATCATCCCCACCACCATCATCATCATCATCATCCCCATCACCATCATCATCATCACCATCATCACCACCATCATCATCATCATCATCACCATCATCACCACCACCATCATCACCATCATCATCACCATCACCATCATCATCATCACCATCATCATCATCATCAGCATCCACATCTGCAGCCAACAGATAACAATCAATACAAAGGCACAACATATGCAAAACAGGGGGCAGTAGTGGGTAGAGACCAGGGGGTAAACAGCTGTCGGCCCTTCACTCTCCCCTCTCTCTCCCTCCCTCCCTCTCCCTCTCTCTCTCTCTACATCTGTCTCTCCCGCACATTTCATTTCCTCCGTTCACTTTGGTTGAATCCTCTTTTTGTCCCGACTCACAGAGATTTAAGACGTGAATAATTTACAGGCT